AGGAGTAAGAATATACTGTGCTGTATGGACATTGGCAGAGGCAGGAGAGCAAAACACATCTGCTACGGACAAACTTGAAAGTGCTGCGATGGTCTACGAATATGGACAAAGTCGGAAGAGTTGCGATGGTCTTCGAATATGGATAAAGTCGGAAGAGTTGCGATGGTCTTCGAATATGGACAAAGTCGGAAGAGTTGCGATGGTCTACGAATATGGACAAAGTCGGAAGAGTTGCGATGGTCTACGAATATGGACAAAGTCGGAAGAGCTGCAATGGTCTACGAATATGGACAACGTTGGAAGAGCTGCGATGGCTTATGTATATGGGCAAAGTTGGAAGAGCTACGATGACCTACGAATATGGACAAAGTTGGAAGAACTGCGATGGTATATGTATATGGGCAAAGTTGGAAGAGCTACGATGACCTACGAATATGGACAAAGTTGGAAGAACTGCGATGGTTTCTGAATGTGAACATAATCAGAGGATCGACACCCCTCTGCTAAGAACATGGGCAAATTTAGAACATCTTCGATAGTCAATGAATATGGCATCATCGTATCGACATACGTGTTCTAGTAACGCGGACAATGGCTCCCCTGTTTTATGTGACATCACAATACCAACCCATGACACAACGTCGGTAGCATCCCTTAACATGTGAATATCAAAGCACATATGCATCCCGTTGGTGGAACTTAATTCTTTTTAACGGTTTTAACTAACCGTGTGTGTTTTGTGGTGGTGTTAGTCAGGCATGATACATGCAGTTATTCTAAGCTGCGTGTCATTAGCTGTACAACACCAGAAGTGCAGAACAGATTTGTTCGTTTTCCTGTCAAACTCTTCTACGCAGTTTAGAAACTTGACTTGAAGTTATCAAAGACAAAACCGTCCATGGATATTCAATTTGTTAGAGAGCGTATTTTCCTTGATTAAAGGACTCACAGGCTAATTTATACGAAATGTAAAGAAATGAGAAACAATTAAACAAAACAATATATCCCAGACTCTTTTCCTCAGCTTAAAAAACTGAAATTTCAAAATGGCTCATTTTTATACATGCCTTTTGCCAAAGTAAAACGTTTTTAGCAGAACAACTTCTTTACATTGATTACACCCCCGACTGTGCAGTATATATTCTCCCATTTGTGTTATAATATATATTCTGAACCGATTGGCTGCCTCACCTTCGTTTTGAACCCGAAATACTAAATATGCTAAAAGTAGCCGTCCAATTAAATTACTCTCACGCGCGAGATCAAATCTGTGCTCTGGCAGAGAGAGAAGCGAAGGAAGTGGTGACGTCACTTCCGAAATAGAACAATGGTGGCGAAAAGGTAGATCGTATTAAAGTATGTTCATAATCTAGAGATAGTGATTACACTGTATTTGTTGTAATCCTATACTATTGGATAGGGTAGTCAGTAATTGTTTGAGACCGCCTCCGTAGTCTAGTGGTAGAGCGTCTACCCCGATAGCGGAAGGTCCGGCGTTCGATCCCCGGCTGCGTCATACCAAAATACGGTAAAAGATGGTATTTGTTGTCACCCTGTATGGCGCTCTGCATTAGGGGGTTAAACAAGGACTGGTCGTCTCGGGATCAGTATACTGTGTCTAAGTGTGGTATTTATGTTAAACTGCGACACGGTATCTCAGTGGGCAAGCACTATAAATCGGCATCAGTCCTGACTAGTACAAGCAGACACACACACACACACACACACACACACACACACACACACGCACGCGCGCGCGCGCGCGTACATGCAAGTCGCAGTATAAGTGCAATAATCTCGGACGCGACGTTAAACCCCATTTCACCTCACCTCAGCAGTATTTGTTCGAAAAACAAAATGTTATCTCTATCCATATCAACATGTTCATGTTAAGTGCATTTCATTGTGTACGACTTTTTCAGTTTTACGTTCAAGATTCAGTCACTCTTAATCAACCCCGGGGGCACGGTCGGCCCAGTCGTCTAAGCGCCGCAAATCGCAGTGCAGAGTTGCGTCCCTTGGTCACGCCAAAAACCGATGATTGTGGGTTCTAATCCCGGTTCGCCCCGATTATGTTTCTAGGTTTGTCAGCACCATACCCGTGCTCTTGGGTATCACCGAAGTGGTAAACGTCTGAGACCTGCATCACTTCGGGCTTTCCTCCCACATTAAGCTGACACGCCGTGATATAAAAATGGCGTTAACACTACTTTCTCACTCACTCAGTTGATCAACCCAATGTACGAGACCGTCCAAGTACCTGAAACGTCATGGTTATACATAACCCTACATACGCCTATCTTAAACCTTGCTACAATCCCCCTGCTTGGTCACACAACAATACCAAAATAACCAGCCATGCTCCCAACCCTTTCCGTGAGACAGGAATGTTCATTCACAATTCTTTGACCCCAAACTCGGTCTGTGTAGTGCCTATTCCCGGCAGTCGCTTATTATTGCCGTATGCGGCCACGCTGCAGACATTCCACGGAGTATTGGAATCACGTGTGTACTGGGCTCCGTTTAAACACCACAGTGACGTAGCGTGTGTGTATTTGATACACTCGGACTTGTCACCAGTAACGGCTCTCACCGACTGAAACGCACTGGGATTCAAAAATTATTCTGTCATATTTAGTCAATCAGTGAAATGTTCAGAGAATGGTAAATGATAATCAATTAAGTTGAAACATCTGTGTACATAAAATAGATGTACAGTCATAAATATGATAAAGTTATACTACTCAAAAGAAATTAAAGAACACCTGAATCTTTCAAATGAATTTAGTGAATCTCTCAGTGTTAGCCATATTTACATAGGAAATCGAGTAAGCGTAAGATAAAGACTCTCATAGTGTAACTTATTTAATGATTGAATTCTGTCAATACATCCTTTCGGTACCGATGCGAGTAACCATATCTCCTTAGTACCTTTATCACCTCAGTACCTTTATCACCACAGTACCTTTATCACCTCAGTACCTTTATCACCCCAGTACCTTTATCACCTTAGTACCTTTATCACCTCAGTACCTTTATCACCCCAGTACCTTTATCACCTCAGTACCTTTATCACCCCAGTACCTTTATCACCTCAGTACCTTTATCACCTCAGTACCTTTATCACCTCAGTACCTTTATCACCTTAGTACCTTTATTACCCCAGTACCTTTATCACCTCAGTACCTTTATCACCTCAGTACCTTTATCACCTCAGTACCTTTATCACCTCAGTACCTTTATTACCTCAGTACCTTTATCACCTTAGTACCTTTATCATCTCAGTACCTTTATCACCCCAGTACCTTTATCACCTCAGTACCTTTATCATCTCAGTACCTTTATCATCTCAGTACCTTTATCACCTCAGTACCTTTATCACCTCAGTACCTTTATCACCTCAGTACCTTTATCACCCCAGTACCTTTATCACCTTAGTACCTTTATCACCCCAGTACCTTTATCACCTTAGTACCTTTATCACCTTAGTACCTTTATCACCTCAGTACCTTTATCACCCCAGTACCTTTATCACCTCAGTACCTTTATCATCTCAGTACCTTTATCACCTTAGTACCTTTATCACCTCAGTACCTTTATCACCTTAGTACCTTTATCACCTCAGTACCCATACCGTGCACAAAAGCAAGGCATACTATAAATTCTACCCTCTCTGTTGGTCTTAATAGTAGTGACTTACAGTATGCACGTATAAAGATATGGAAAAGAATGATTTCAACAAGTTTTTATGGATGTGAATTACTATCTCGAATTAGCTGAGAGCACCAAGCGTTACATTGACAGGATTATACACGGGTTTGACAAACGTTTTCCCACTGATGCCACTATTGCTAATCTAGGACTTTGGAGCATGGTTGGCTATATAGATATATGTAGACTACAGCTGTTGGGCGTCTTTGCAACAACTCATATGCATGTGTCTCAATTTGTAAAAGTGGTTTCTGCGCATTAACATCACTCTATTATTTTCATAACAATAATTTACACAGTTTGTATGGAGTGGTTGCTTTCAACAGCTAAGAAATATAAGATTGCACAGGGGAATTCCCCGCGAAGACGAAGTAGAGAAAGATTGTGTTATATGAAATAACTACCTACGAGGAAGAAGTATGGAAATATAAACTCTCATGTAGAGCTGACTTGTTTCGATATTCTAAACTTCACACAACACTAGCCCCGCATGTGTTATACAGCGTTGTAATGTTATACCCAGAGTTGGGAGAAGAAATACAATTATTATATGTAATAAGGATTTGATCCAGAAGCAAAATATCAAAAGAATGTAAGACCTTTGCTGATCATTATTATCAGCATGTCATCTTAAACTGTGAATGTCTACTTTCAGAGAGAGATGTATTCTTTTCTACTATAGTTGATAATCTTGATGTTCAGATGATGAAAGACCATGATATGTTAGCATTCTTTCTTGGTGCAGATAACAATGACATTGATGAAATAATGTGGCATTTCACTTTTTTGAATTCTCAAAGTATTTATATCAAATTAAACATATCCTAAACAACGTGTGGTAATCTTACCAATATTTCTCACTGTTTAAAGCCTGTAAATATGCGGAACATTGATATATATATACCCACCTTAGTACCTTTATAACTTTATGTCACTTAAAGATATTTGAATAAATGTGTCCGCTACATTTGTGATGCTTCAGTAAGCACAACCCTCGCGTTCATAGACTGAAGCAGAATACACCCAAGTCGACATTGCCTTGAAAATCCAACAGTACCTAAGGTAACACGAGTCGCCTCCCTTGAAACATGATCTCAACTATTTTCTTAAACCTTGACATGAATTGAAATATTACCCTGACTGAAGAACAATACATTTCCTTGTTTCACTGCGTAATAAACAACGATTTCTAGAACAAACTATGTAGGTGAATACATTTACGGCGAATGTGACATTAAAACAGACCGAAACAAGTGCATTTTAAAACATAAAACTTTTATTCTGTATGAATTGTACAGAAACAAATGTGTAACAATGAGAATGAATGCACGAACACAATACATAAACATAATTATTCCTGGAAACAATGAAATGGCTATCGATAACATGCAGAAACTCAAAAATACATAAATATACATCTATAATATATATACATGGAACATGAAGAAGTCTTTACCAAAGTGCGAAATATGACATCATAAATGGAATTCCCCCATGCAATTAGACACAGCATGCGTTAACCTTAGGGGAATCATCTATTATCAACGGATCGGAATGCTTGGCATTCAAAATTCAGTGTCAGTGTGTTTGGGTATGTAAGAAAACAAGGATTTGTCCATGAGGACTCATTTTAATCGGTGTTAACAATCAAACCCGGTATTTGTCCCATTTCGACAGTAGTGCCATTGTGGCTGCGTTCCGACTGGAAGAATTTGAACGTCATGTCATCCAGAATGACTGTATGGTTGCCATGGGTACCCTGAAAGCACGGCTCCCCCCGTACGTTGACCAGCAGGGTGTATTGCCTCTTGCGCTCAATCCGGACAGGGGTCGGGAAGGGAAGCTCATAAAATTTGTCATTAGGATTGACGTCCACCTCTACCTCCATTAAGCTCCCTCTCATCACGTTCCCTTCATCATCCTCAACCCTTGCCCGGACATAGTACTGACCTCGGACGTAGCGGGATGGCCCGAACAGAAGGAAACCTACCAGAATGAAGTCGTGGTCGCAGCCGAAGCCGATCGCGTCGTCCATCTGCCCATCACACATCCACGATAACACTTCATCCCGTGTTGAGAATCGCAAGAGATTATGGTCCCGCAGGGTCACCTTCTTCTTTTTCTTCCCCTTGCCTTTCTTTTTTTCCGCCGATGTCTTCTCATCTTTGGGTTTTCCTTTCTTCTCCTTCTTGGGCTCCGGTTCGGGCTCCACAATAATTGGGGGCAGCTCCACGCGAGGCTCCGGGGGTTCTGTCATGTCCAATGGGCCTTCTACCTTTGGTGCCTCGTACATGTCCGGACGGACAAACGTACCTTTCCTTGCTTCAGTGATAAAAGGCTTTGCTCCTATTTCCGGAATGACATAATATTGAAGCACGGTGTTCGTTTCAACATCATTAAGAACGCCGAAAGGACTTACTTTTTGCACAAATATCTTTTTATCTATTAGTGGAAATCTTATGCTATAAATGGCATTTCCAAGAACGTCCCTACGGCCTTCCGGCGTGATGTCTTTTTCATGGCGTGCCAGCTCACACTCCGACCAGTACAGGGCGCCAAAGAAGACAACATCTTCCGGTGCGTTGAGGTCATCCGAGGCTAGGACCATTGAGAGACATTCGTGGCACAGCTCCCCGACCGTCCGAGCTCGGAGGGTCCCGTCCCCTGTCTTGAGGATGTAGTCCAGAGCCTTGGCCCTCAGGTCATCCTCGTCGTACACGTGGGCCTGCTCCATGATGACACAGGCGGAGTCGGGGGACAGGTCGGCCTCCAGATACTGCAGACAGCGCCTCCTCAGAGACTGGATGCCGTACTTCTTGGCCGCGAAGAGGACAAGGGAAACGTTCTCGGGGTCCAGACGGATGTCGTCTGTGTACAGAAACCTGTTGGGAGAATAAAGACAGGTGTGTCAGTGAGTGAGTGATTGCTGTTTAACGGAGTCAGGTGAAATGGGCTTTAACTTCACGACCAAGAATATTGCACTAATATAGCGAAGTGCACATATGTGTGCGGCTACTTGTACTAGTCCGGTTTAATGCCGATTTTATAGTTCTAGCACACTAAAATATCATGCTGCAGTTTAACATGAATACCCATTCAGACACAGTAAATTGACTCAGAGCCGACCAGTCCTTGTTTTACCACCTTAATGCCGAGCTCCAGGCAGGGTAAAAACAAGTACCATCTTTCAACGTCTTTTGGTATAACGCGACCGAACCCCTTGCGCTCTCTGGGCGGACGCTCTACCACTAGACCACGGAGGCGCTCGCTGTTTAACGATGCAATCATTAGTATTCAAACTATCGCACGCATATGTCGGAACACACTTATCCCTGCAGGTCCAGCAGCTCTAATCCGCAGATTTCGGATTACACTTAGCCCTGCAGGTCATGTTACCCACACCAGCATATGTCGGACTACACTTAGCCCTGCATGTCATGTAACTCACACCAGCAAATGTCGGACTACACTTAGCCCTGCGGGTCATGTAACTCATGCCAGCATATGTCGGACTACACTTAGCCCTGCATGTCATGTAACTCACACCAGCATATGTCGGACTACACTTAGCCCTGCATGTCATGTAACTCATACCAGCATATGTCGGACTACACTTAGCCCTGCATGTCATGTAACTCATGCCAGCATATGTCGGACTACACTTAGCCCTGCGGGTCATGTAACTCACACCAGCATATGTCGGACTACACTTAGCCCTGCATGTCATGTAACTCATGCCAGCATTTGTCGGACTACACTAAGCCCTGCATGTCATGTAACTCACACCAGCGTATGTCGGACTACACTTAGCCCTGCATGTCATGTAACTCACACCAGCAAATGTCGGACTACACTTAGCCCTGCATGTCATGTAACTCACACCAGCGTATGTCGGACTACACTTAGCCCTGCATGTCATGTAACTCATACCAGCATATGTCGGACTACACTTAGCCCTGCATGTCATGTAACTCATACCAGCATATGTCGGACTACACTTAGCCCTGCATGTCATGTAACTCATGCCAGCATATGTCGGACTACACTTAGCCCTGCGGGTCATGTTACTCACACCAGCGTATGTCGGACTACACTTAGCCCTGCATGTCATGTAACTCATGCCAGCATATGTCGGACTACACTTAGCCCTGCATGTCATGTAACTCATACCAGCGTATGACGGACTACACTTAGCCCTGCATGTCATGTAACTCATACCAGCATATGTCGGACTACACTTAGCCCTGCGGGTCATGTAACTCACACCAGCATATGTCGGACTACACTTAGCCCTGCGGGTCATGTAACTCACACCAGCGTATGTCGGACTACACTTAGCCCTGCATGTCATGTAACTCATGCCAGCATATTTCGGACTACACTTAGCCCTGCATGTCATGTAACTCATACCAGCGTATGTCGGACTACACTTAGCCCTGCATGTCATGTAACTCATACCAGCATATGTCGGACTACACTTAGCCCTGCATGTCATGTAACTCATGCCAGCATATGTCGGACTACACTTAGCCCTGCATGTCATGTAACTCATACCAGCATATGTCGGACTACACTTAGCCCTGCATGTCATGTAACTCATGCCAGCATATGTCGGACTACACTTAGCCCTGCGGGTCATGTAACTCACACCAGCGTATGTCGGACTACACTTAGCCCTGCATGTCATGTAACTCATGCCAGCATATGTCGGACTACACTTAGCCCTGCATGTCATGTAACTCATACCAGCGTATGTCGGACTACACTTAGCCCTGCATGTCATGTAACTCATACCAGCATATGTCGGACTACACTTAGCCCTGCGGGTCATGTAACTCACACCAGCATATGTCGGACTACACTTAGCCCTGCGGGTCATGTAACTCACACCAGCGTATGTCGGACTACACTTAGCCCTGCATGTCATGTAACTCATGCCAGCATATTTCGGACTACACTTAGCCCTGCATGTCATGTAACTCATACCAGCGTATGTCGGACTACACTTAGCCCTGCATGTCATGTAACTCATACCAGCATATGTCGGACTACACTTAGCCCTGCATGTCATGTAACTCATGCCAGCATATGTCGGACTACACTTAGCCCTGCGGGTCATGTAACTCACACCAGCGTATGTCGGACTACACTTAGCTCTGCATGTCATGTAACTCATGCCAGCATATGACGGACTACACTTAGCCCTGCAGGTCATGTAACTCACACCAGCATATGTCGGACTACACTTGGCCCTGCAGGTCATATTACTCACACCAGCATATGTCGGACTACACTTGGCCCTGCAGATCATGCTACTCACACCAGCATATGCGGACTACACTTAGCCCTGCATGTCATGTAACTCACACCAGCATATGCGGACTACACTTAGCCCTGCATGTCATGTAACTCACACCAGCATATGTCGGACTACACTTAGCCCTGCAGGTCATATTACTCACACCAGCATATGTCGGACTACACTTGGCCCTGCAGATCATGCTACTCACACCAGCATATGCGGACTACACTTAGCCCTGCATGTCATGTAACTCACACCAGCATATGCGGACTACACTTAGCCCTGCATGTCATGTAACTCACACCAGCATATGTCGGACTACACTTAGCCCTGCAGGTCATATTACTCACACCAGCATATGTCGGACTACACTTGGCCCTGCAGATCATGCTACTCACACCAGCATATGTCGGAACACGTTCGGATCTACGTCATCCACGACGATCTCATCGTTGTCCTCCATGATTGCTTCTGCATCGGCAAACATGGTCTGGAACACGTTACTGCGAGACCCAAGCATGTACTTGTGGGCGGGGATGATCTCCTCGGCCTCCCCTACCCTGAAGGTGACGTCACAGTTGAGCTGGTTGACCAGCATGTGTAGGTTGGTGTCCGGCAGGTTCTTGCCCGACTGCCAGTCCACCTCCCGCCCGATGGTCATCTCCCACATGGACACGTCATCTCCAGACTTCCGGGGGGTCTTGCTCTTCTTGCTGCCTCCCCGAGTTGCCTTGCCCGATTTACTCGCCATCCTAGGTGGAGAATGTGTGTTACAGTGGCATAGAGACTGTTGTGAAATAAACTGTTCATAGGTGGATCGGGGCGGTTGGGTAACCTAGTGTTAAAGCGTTAGCTCGTCAAGCCGAAGTCATCGGTTCGATTCCCCACATGGGTCAATGTGTGAAGCCCGTTTCTGATGTCCCCGACCGTGATATTGCTGGAATATTGCTAAAAGCGGCGTAAAACTATACTCACTCACTCACAGACGGATACAGAGGGTGTGTGGGCCGTATGGGTATGTTTGGGTGGCAGGAAATCCTGCCCACTAACGGACTACTGTTTCTGATAATAAGACTGACGGGGATTTTGTTTCAATATAGCGCTTAACGATGTCACTGTCATAGTGTTGTCTACATTTTGTGTGGTGATGATGAAATAAGCAGTTAACTGTTAAGTATGTTGTTGACTGGTTTTCTTTAAAGAATAGATTTAAATAGGTTTTAACGTCTACGCGGATTTACAGTGTGCACACCGGATTTGACGTTTATACCTTCATGTTTTAACTGTTCGAGACAACGTCACAGAAACAAAGTGACGAAAATTGTGTTCAACGCGCCTCGGATAAAGCACGGCTTGAAGACGCGTTTAAGTAATAACCAACATTTAAACCATGCTCAGGTCCAGGAATCGATTTATCACAAGTGTCACATTTTCAATAAGCTATCTGAGGTCAAACACGAGCCAAACATAAATAAAACGCACCTGCCAAAAGCAGGACGTTGATCGATAAATTTGAGTGTTTTAATCGCTTATGTCATTACCGGCCCTTGTGATGTCACATACGCTGTAGAGATGACACGACACAAACCACTTGTGGCCTCTTTTTAAGTGCAAAGTAGGAAATTCAATTTCATGATTTAATTAGCGGCTTTTGAAACTAAAGAACACGGAAAGTGGATGGCTGGCCTTTAATGGAATCTATTACATAAAGTAGGTCCAAAGGAAACTTCCTCTGCCTTGCGATCGATATAACATAGTCGGAAATCAAACTGACATGTACATCGACACCTATACGTGAGTGACTGAATGAACGTTGTTCTACGCCGCAGCCAGGAGCATTCTAACAATCTGCAGATAATATATACCCGAGTACAGACTACCTAGTGGTTGACAGCATGAGTGATTGTACGAGTAGACACATTCAGGTCACACATGACAAATTGAATTCATTAAGTCGGCGACGGTGAAGTTGCCTGGTGGTTAAAGGTGTGGATTAAAACTAATTAACACGTATTTTACGAAACTTCGTTGACTTTTCAGAGACACTTAATTCAGCCGATATCAGGAAATATTTGAGAACATTAGTGGTTTAGTTTAACTGAGAAAAGAGACATGAATACGAGTACATCATGCCAACAGAGCGAATATATTCAGATATTTTATCAATCTTGGGACAGCGATCGGGATTATCTCCCTTAGATAGATGGCCTCACTTTACTCTGTGTCACAAAATATTGGGCTGAGAGAAGAACACATGTCGTATTTATGTTTTTCAAAGGTGTAATGAAGAAAGCAGGATTCGTGTTGTCATTTGTCATTTTAAAAATGAATAATAAAACATAAAATATGATGTACTCGTGTAGGTACATTTGTGTCACTGAACTATTGCCTTGGTTAGGACTTCAGAAAATAAAAAACGCGAATGAATATTGTTTATGAAGTCAAGAGTATTCCATATATATGACGGCATTCTGCAAATAATCAAGTCTGGACCAGACAATCCAGTAATTGATATCATGAGCATTGATCCACAAAATTGGGATCGATGACATGCTTCAACCAAGTCAGCGAGCCTGACCACCCGATCCCGTTAGTCGTCTCTCACGACAAGCATAGTCGCCTTTTACGGCAAGCATGGGTTGCCGAAGACCTATTCTATCACGGATCTTCACGGGTCTTATTAAGTTAAGATATTCACTCACACACATTATATGTAATTATTATTTGAATTTATAAAATAAGAATATACCAAAGATTCTCCTATCATTTAACGATCAAAACAAAAAGTAGGCTCCGCCACAGAGTTATCTTTCAAATTATAGATGAATGAATGAATGAATGAATGTTTATAGTTCCTCAAAATAGATACGCAGATTATAATTAATAATATAGTTATTAACGAACACATTTATTAAATATCCATACGGTGGGAACAGTGACCTGCATATAGCCAAGCTGCAAACAGTGAGAAAGATTGATATTAATTATTACTGCCACACGCTGTTCAAGATATGCTTTATGTTGTATACATAGTTACAGAATTCCGATGAATATGGCGTCTTTGTATATATACTACGCAATTTACACTACGAGGTAAGCATGTATACTTGAATAAGTTGCTTATTATCGATACGATTCAGAAACACTGGTTGAGTGTAAAAAGTGACTTAAAAGTAACATAACCAGCATAACTGTCGTGTATGTAATATAGGTCTGGGGACGTTTGAGTAACTCAACAACACTGATATATAACTATACACAACAGTTGAACCGAGTTTACTAGAGCGTCAGAGGGCCGAGCACGAAGCCTTTTTTGACGTGTATGATAAACTCTTGGATCATTGTTTACAAAAATAAGTTCGATATCAATCCATTAAACACAACACTGATATGTCGCAAATCTGTCTCACCTGATTCGTCAGTCACACCCCCGTCGATAATGCATGATTTTGAGAAAACTGTGAAATTGTTTTCGCCTTCGTAAAGTTCTTGACTACAAATAAGTTAATATACAGTTACCTCCCTTGATGCATGTGATGATAAGGCAAGACTCTTTGTTTGACTATAAGAGTCTGTGATTATTCAGGTTGTGGGTTACGCTGTCTTGAGATTCCCGAAGTTGTTTATTATGTGTGTGTTCCTTCCAAACATACGCTCGCTTTCTGACAGAACAATGACTAGTCATAGCGGTATTACCACCACTGAGAGCAAACCCAGCCGCACAATGAGAAATCTATTTAATACCAGTCAGTATTGATCCACACAAAAGCCGTGTTTGTCATTCAGAGTCAGTAGACCGTCCCCTATTCATACATACAGTGATCAGTTTATAGTGTTTGCAAAGTAACAAAACACACACACACACACATATTCATGTCAATTCTGCACAGATGTTGAAAGTATATGTCTCGGAACAGAGCTGTATTTGGCTCAGGCCGGGAAGGCAGCTCATGGTGTATAGATAGGTTTGTATATGCATGGCTGGCAGAAAACCCGGGACTTTCCAGTTGGCATAACTACCTACATCATTCTTTTAAAATACTATTGTTTAACATGTATTCAGCGGGGATTAAGCGCTAAGCGTGTATTGTGAGGGATATTAATAAGAGGGTAGGGGGTATGCGGTGTTTGGTTGGCTGTGGATTACAATGGATGGATGGATGGATGGATGGATGGATGGATAGATAGATAGATAGATAGATAGATAGATAGATAGATAGATAGATAGAAGGTTTTCAGTAACGTCATTACTTATTCAGTAACGTCTTTACCTATAATATATTTTTTGTTCACACGTAGGATAAAAGGAGTTATTGGTCCCCATAAACAATGTCTGTCCATCTGCCTGTTGAGGCTATCTGTACTTTACTGCAGAACCTGTCCTGTCTAGTGAGTGAGTATGGTTTTATGCCGAGCGAACGCCACCGTTCTGCCTAGATGTCTTCTAGGTAGACCCACAATAAACACGGACGCTATCAGCTGAGTGTGGCATTACCATTGTCGAAGCCGACACAACAGACACATGTAGCCATGTTTTCTACCCGCATGCTTGTACTGTCCGGACTGATGCCGGTTTTGTATATAGTACTAGCCCAAATGAGATACACCCGCCGTGTTAACATGAATACCCCACTCAGGCACAGTATATTGTATAGATACAGAAGCGACCAGTCGTTGTTTTCTCCCATTAATACCGAGCCAGACAGGGTTACAACAAGTACCATCTATTGACGTATGTTTTGTTTTTTTCAGTTGTTTAACGCCGCACTCAGCAATATACCAAATATATGACGACGGGCTGTAAATAATCGAGTCTGGACCAGGCAATCCAGTGATTGACGTCATGAGCATTGATTTACGCAATTGGAATACGATGACATGCATCAACCAAGTCAGCAAGCCTGACCACCCGATCCCGTTAGTCACCTCTTACGGTCGCATTTCAGGGCAGGCATGGATCTTCACGTGTCTCGTTTGATATGACGCGGCCAGGGTTCGAACCACGCCCATTATACTGAGAGTTAGAACGGATTCTATAAGAACTCGAAGGTCTACTGAGTGAGTGAGTGAGTGAGCAGGTGAGAAAGAAGATTTTAGATTCTGTTTTCGTCAATACTGTTTTGCTCCATTTTTTGTTTGAAGCTGGCTTTGTTTAATAACTTGTCATATATCTGTCGACGTGTTTTACGAAACGTATGACCAATATCATTTTTAAGTGGCCAGCAATGTTTTCCTTTGATAAAAAGTCGGTTCAGAATATCCCTTTCGATCCAATGCTTGGCACATTGATTGAAAAACGATATCAGCGTCTTGACTTCCTACTGGCTGCCCGTGAAGATCCGGGTAGAGAATAGGTCTTCAGAAACCCATGCTTGCTGTAACAGGTGACTATGCTTGTCGTCGGAGGCGATTAACGGGAGCAGGTGGTTTCGCTGACTTGGTTGATGCATGTCATTGTATCCCAATTGCGTGGATTAATGCTCGTGATTTAAAACACATCTGTGACGTCATTCTATTGTTTGAACGCTCCATTATTTTTCAGGAATGGAGAGTTGTTTGTCAACTGAACATTATCTTCGACCAACATTTGAATTAATTACCACTTGGAATAGACATTTATTGACATGTGAATAATGTCATTTTTTTTCGAAAACATGTGTCGCCAGCTATGTTCGAACCTGCATCGTTTGATATGAGAACGTGTAATTGTCAACCTCCGCTACGGCCGCACATGAATGCATGGTGTGAAATGAACTATTTTGATATTTTCATAATTTTGCATAATGCTTAAAAGCTCAAAATAATATGTTTATAATTTGTATTGGAGCAGGTTACCTACAACTATGTTCATATTTACAGCAATTAGGTAAACCTTTGACGAGAAAAAAACAAATCAGATAATATATATATTATATATATATATTATATATAATATATATATCCTTGTTCAGGGCTCTATATTTCCTATTATTCCCGTCAGCATGTATTAACAATGTGCAAGCCATTGATACAAGTTTAGGATCCAACGAAATTATGAAGAGCCGCTTACCATGCATTGTAAACGTCAGCTCGCGACGGAGCTTAGCGCACGTGCAACAGCGGCAGAGAACGCAATCCTCGTGCATCACGCAAGGGCGACTCACGCAGTAAAAATACAGACAACAAAGAGTTCTGGTTTATTTTCCACAACAGAATATTTTGTCAAAGTGTAAAAGTAGGGATGTGTTTTATGTAGGGAATATCCTCGTAACTCGAGAGTTACTCGGACATTCTCCTCTACATCAGTCACTGCCTGATGCATAGTGAGACCCCGTCAGTTCTGAGCATGTTAATCTGAAAGCCTTCCTTCCGGACCATTACTGTTGAGAAGTCAGCAAAATACATGCACTGGATAGAGTTGAAACAGCGACAGTATATCGGGATATTGTAGAAACAGTGGCAGTATATCGGGATACAGTTGAAACAGCGGCAGTATATCGGGATACAGTTGAAACAGCGGCAGTATATCGGGATACAGTTGAAACAGCGGCAGTATATCGGGATACAGTAGAAACAGAGGCAGTTTATCGGGATACAGTTGAAACAGCGGCAGTATATCGGGATACAGTTGAAACAGCGGCAGTATATCGGGATACAGTAGAAACAGAGGCAGTATATCGGGATACAGTTGAAACAGCGGCAGTATATCGGGATACAGTTGAAACAGCGGCAGTATATCGGGATACAGTAGAAACAGAGGCAGTATATCGGGATACAGTAGAAACAGTGGCAGTATATCGGGATACAGTTGAAACAGCGACAGTATATCGGGATACAGTAGAAAGAGTGGCAGTATATCGGGATACAGTAGAAACAGAGGCAGTATATCGGGATACAGTAGAAACAGGCAGTATATCGGGATACAGTTGAAACAGCGGCAGTATATCGGGATACAATAGAAAGAGTGGCAGTATATCGGAATACAGTAGAAACAGAGGCAGTATATCGGGATACAGTAGAAACAGGCAGTATATCGGGATACAGTTGAAACAGAGGCAGTATATCGGGAAACTGTAGAAACAGTGGCAGTATATCGGGATACAGTTGAAACAGCGGCAGTATATCGGGATAAAGTTGAAACAGTGACAGTATATCAGGATACACTAGAAACAGTGGCAGTATATCGGGATACAGAAGAAATAGCGACAGTATATCGGTATACAGTAGAAACAGTGGCAGTATATCGGGATAAAGTTGAAACAGCGGCAGTATATCGGGACACAGTAGAAGCAGCGGCAGTATATCGGGATACAGTAGAAGCAGCGACAGTCTATCGGGATACAGTAGAATTATGGCCGTATATCGTGATAAAGTAGAATAGTGGCCGAATATCAGGTGATCTAGAAACAGTGGCAGTATATCGGGATAACGTTGAAACAGCGGAGGTATATAAGGATACACTAGGAAAGAGTGGCAGTATATCGGGATACAGTAGAAACAGTGGCAGTATATCGGGATATAGTTGAAACAGCGACAGTCTATCGGGATACAGTAGAAACAGCGGCAGTCTATCGGGATACAGTAGAAACAGTGGCAGTATATCGGGATACAGTTGAAACAGTGGCAGTATATCGGGATACAGTAGAAACAGCGGCAGTATATCGGGATACAGTTGAAACAGCGGCAGTATATCGGGATACAGATGAAACAGCGGCAGTATATTGGGATACAGTAGAAACAGAGGCAGTATATCGGGATACAGTAGAAACAGTGGCAGTATATCGGGATAAAGTTGAAACAGCGGCAGTATATCGGGACACAGTAGAAGCAGCGGTAGTATATCGGGATACAGTAGAATTATGGCCGTATATCGTGATAAAGTAGAATAGTGGCCGAATATCAGGTGATCTAGAAACAGTGGCAGTATATCGGGATAACGTTGAAACAGCGGAGGTATATAAGGATACACTAGAAAAGAGTGGCAGTATATCGGGATACAGTAGAAACAGTGGCAGTATATCGGTATACAGTAGAAACAGCGGCAGTCTATCGGGATAAAGTAGAGTTATGGCCGTATATCGTGATAAAGTAGAATAGTGGCCGAATATCAGGTGATATATAAACAGTGGCATATATCGGATACAGAAGAAACAGCGCTGGTATATCGGGACTGGAATACAGTAGAAAAAGTTGCAGTATAGCGGGATAAATCAGGGTATTGTATAATTGATTGATACTGATGAAAAGAAGGTTGATAATCACCACAAAATGCCGTTCAGGTTTTTTTATATAACCTCTCCCGCTCCTCAATTCTGATACTTGTTATATTCACGATATTACGCACAGACCCACGCTGCCCGGGGCGTCAGGGGGAAGCCTTTATTCAAGGAAGATGGGAAGATATTAATACTGTTTATGAAAGGGGAAATGAGAGTGTGAAAGGTTTCAGTACAAGATATCTAAGTTGTTATGACACAAGTCAGACAAGGACGTTGTAGAACCACTAGATAATGGAGCAAAACGATTGATCAACAGCGAGATTGATACACATCAGTATGTTGCAAAGTCGTCGCACACTGCCTGTCGTCTGAGAAGCCAGATCTGGTCACGTGACTTCCTAAGTTCTCCTACTTCCGGTTCAGACTCGGTCAGAGAAAACGTGCTCAAGCAAACTTGTGACGAGCGGTGAGTAAAACTCTCTTTACACGGTGTGATGTCAATGTGCATTTGTGAAACAGGCAATAAGCGCATGCCTTGATAACCGATAGCAGTTTTAGTCTTCAAACTGGAAGAATATATATAATCAGGACAAGGGAAGAATGACGGTGTTTATCCGGATATGACCTAAACTAATTTCCGATAGAGTAAACATGCTTTCTTTCATTTAATATCAGTCTCAGATGCATATGAAATATTACTTTTCTTATATCTGATATGAAATGCGACATTTTACCATTCAAGAAGCGCCATTAAGTAATACCTTAATAGCCTAATCAAGGCGATGTGTCTGAGTTTACGATGCCTCGCTAATATAGTATTGATTTCAGTGAGGAAAGAAACGTAGCACACACTGGTAGTCCCTCGCCGCCGGTGTTCGCGGGATGTTCTTATAATGGTGGACTGAGACTTCATTGCCTCTGTAGTTTGCCACCAGACAGCCGAATCAATACGTAATAAGGGCTAATGGATGTTTACGCCGTGCCCGGTAATCTGTATAGACAGGTGGGGATCGATCATGGAGTTAAGACAGGACGTAAAGTGTTGTCATGGTGACATGAGAGTATCGATTGTTTGACTCGCGGGTTAGCGTGTCGTGTTGTTGAGGCTGGGATGCGTGCATGTATTTGCACGTGCACTAAATGAGACATGTGAATAACTTCATTTGGATAGTTATTAATTGACGTTCAACACGTGCATTGAAGGAATGGATACACACGCCAACTTTGATACAGAGGATCAACACGGCGCGAAGAAATTTTGTAGCATACCTACCTATTGATGCAAGCACATGTACTGTCAAAAGCACACATGTGTTACCCAGAAGGTAAAACAAATTGTAGTTTGCATGTAGTACCTTAAGAATCAGGAATGAGAATATGGCACGTTAAATATTTGTGTAATATACAAGCGGAAAACAAACATATTATGAAAACGAAACTAGTCATTTGTTTTCACAACAATGACTTCCTGAAACATTTGTTATTGTTTTCAAGGGGTATTAAGTTGACACAAGCTTAGTGGTATACCTGATACTGTTGACATTGATATATCTGTAGTGGTAAAGCTTATATATTTCTTTTGGTAATTATTTTTTTTAAAGTAATAGCTACGTTTTTGGTGTGATAAAAGGCTATGATCAAGAGGCTGAGTGGAGACATGCAGATGTTGTTTAAACTGAATCCCACTATGTTGTGAGTGCAGGTCACACACTGAAGCCAAAGTGAGTGAGTGAGTTGGGTTTAACGCCGCTTTGGACAGTATTCAGTTATATCACGGCGTGTCAGCTTGATGTGGAAACCCACGAGCACGGGTATGGTGCTGACAAACCTGGAAATATAATCGTCGCGAACCGGGATTCGAATCCACAATCATAGGTTTCTGGTGAGCGCAAGGGACCCAACTCTTCACAGCGAATTGCGGCGCCTCACAATCACTAATGCAATTGAGCTAAGCACACGATTAAAATGCTTCCGAGACGGTATCTAAAAAAACCCAGAGAAAATGACGAATTGTGTGTACGATAGAGAGGGGACATCAATATCCTAAGCTGCCCGCATGTTTGGTAAATACAAAGTGTAATTTCCTGACTGTGGGACAAGTACCGTCAAACAATGAGACAAGGGCGTGAAAGACCTAAAATCGACACCTACACAAGATCATCTCACTACATTAATTGCTCTTTCGCAATAGATACAAATCAAGGCCCTGCTCCTGTTTTAATAGAGAATTCCGTACACTAACAGGAAGGGGAATTTCAATATTTCCCCTTTAAAACCGGCACCATGCAGCCCATCTGAAAACAAGTCGTCCTATGAAGGGTGTGACCCTAACATCTTGCCATAGGCGCAAAGATTGGTGTAGGCTGGGCAACACCAGGGACCGGCAGTGCGCCAATGGCGTTACACCATGTTTACAACATTCTGCCTCCGATTCACAAATGGTAGAAAACTTTGTTGCCGACGTAGCGGCGAGCAGTGTGCCAGGACAACAGTTCTTGACCATGATCGATATGATGGCAATTGTGCCATGGCATGGGGCGGTATCACAGATGACAGGCGAACTGATTTGGTTATTGTGAATGGACATTTGACTGGCCAGCGATATGTTGAATTTTGGGGCCTGTCGCTGGAATGATTGGAAGGAATTTTGAACTTGAAATAACAATCCCAGACCTCATCGTTTGTTTTGTTTGTTTGTTTGTTTTTAACGCCGCACTCAGCAATATTCCAGCTATTTGACGGCGGTCTGTAAATAATGGAGGCTGGACCAGACAATCCAGTGACTGACATCATGAGCATCGATCCACGCAATTGGGATCGATGACATTCATCAACCAAGTCAGCGAGCCTGATCCCGTCAGTCGCCTCTCACGACAAACAAAGTCGGCTTTTACCGCAAGCATGGGTTGCTGAAGACCTATTCTACCCCGTATCTTCACGGGTCCCGAAATATATAAGGTAGTCTGAACACACGCAACCGCATTTACTCGATGTGGGACTGTACTTGCGCTTCTACTTAATTAATGAAAAGACGGCAAAGAAATATCGTGATTATTTGCTCATCTATTCCCACTGTACAAACACCTGGTCCATTTTTTTAACGCATCAAATACAATTTGATTGGAGATTGGATTGGAAAAACAGACGAAACATTAATACGTTCAGAAATTTGTAGGGGGTCAGATGCGGTCAATGTAGAGGTTTTACAGCACTGTATGTGGCTCATTTAATGATACATTTGACAGAACTATATGATTACTGAACGAAAAACACCAAATGCATCCCTCCTTTACCAAAACCTGTGTAAGCGCTTGTTCACCAACGCCGTTCACGCGATTAGACCGTTCAACGATGCTCTATTTACGTTGGAAATGAAGTATTGATTCCTCTCTAATATAATATTGTAATTTGTGAAAACTTTCAGATTTTCAGAGAGGATGTGTTGAGTGCCATGGCGGCGCAGACAGGCGGCGTTGACAACTGGCAAGCCCGCTGTGACCTCGCCCAGAGTAACCTCCACATGTTGACCAATGAGATCTCGTGTGACGTCCTGCTGTGGGTGGGTCAGGAGAAGACGGTGTTCCGCGCCCACCAGTACGTGTTGATCAGTCGGAGCTGCGTGTTCAATGCCATGATCTGCGGCAACCTCAGGCAGCAGGAGGACGGCCCCATAAAGATCCCAGACATTGAAGCGGACATCTTCGAGGAGTTCTTGAAGTAAGAATAGTTTGTGTACGTCATATTGTGAACGGCACCGCACTTGAAATATATGCTTACGCGATGCGTTTTAGATACCTATGTTCATGGGTTCGAATCAAAATACGCCAAGATTGTGATTATTTTGTGGTTAAGCAGGGTGATACGAGTTTCTCAGACCTCTCGCACTTAGGACCTTCCACCGACAATAATCACCCCGTGACAAACCCGAATTACAACTCCACCCAAATTAGATTTTATGAATTATAGGAATATCTACAAAATGCATTTAGAAACTGAGATTAGAATTATTCCAGAAATTGGTGTTCACCATTGTTCCCTTGTAGAGAATCTAACTAGAACGTCGCGAGCCAATGGGCTATTACGAGTCATGTCCCTTTTATGTTCCTCCTATTGACCAATCAGATTCCACCTCTCATATCACTACATTTGCTTTAAACAAAACGCCGGCGCCCAGTGAAGACGATCTGATCGATAATCAAGATCTATACTGTAATAACACGGGTCTTACTTCGCGAAGTGTATTAAATAACGCGAGCACCTTGATCAAATACATGAATGAGTGAGTATGGTTTTTACGCCGCTTTTAGCAATATTCCAGCAAAATATCACGCCGGGGGACACCAGAAATGGGCTTCACACATTGTACCCATATCGGGATTTGAACCCGGGTCTTCAGCGTGACGAGCGAATTCCTTAACCACTAGGCTACCCGATCGCCCTTAAATATATGAAAAGATTAAAAAAATATCTGTTGACGCTTATTTGTCGGTACACATGCTTTGCAAATCCTGCAATCGACCAAAATCTTCACGGCAATTTACGAACCGGATATCGATTTCATTACGCGATCTTGATTGGTCTATGCATAGACTCGTTAGTCCAGCCAAATATAACTCTGTAATTACAGTCTAGTTCGGCAAGGGCGGAAAATGGACTTTGATAGTCAGTTAACTCTTTTGCCTCGGGAAGATGCCATTTTGCCGACCAGCTTATGTATGTGAGCTAATCCTTGACAGGCCTTCTGAACCACGAGGCATCACAAGTTAATACTGTCATTCCGGCATTGTGTACGTTTGTCTTACATCAAACGTAGAATTGCACATTCAAATGCAGAGTTCATGGTACAAGTGTGTCCGCTCGTGGAATACTTTCTTGTTTTCCTCGTGCCATTGAACTCTGTCCCAAATTTTGGAGGTAACTAAATTGGATCTGGCGGACAGGCTCTGTGTCGCTGGTTCTCACACAAGTTACCAGTTCCACATTCAGTTATGTACAGGTCACAGTGAGATAACTGGGATATCGCCGTGTGTAGCGTAAAACAACATTCACTTACTCCTGTATTATATCTTCTCATATCTCACATCACTATATTGTGATATTGTGTCCTCTATTCAAATGAATACCTTCACGTTTTTGTGTTGGTCTGTTAAGAGGTTAAATAATATGAATATATCAAGAATATCGAGAAGACTGTATCGAAATCGTAATTCTTAAGCTATTATACCAAGAGCCCTTGAGTGGTATTGTCAGTAGCTGCAGGTACCACGCAACGTGTCATGAAAGTGTATTCCTTTGTATCGGTAGATGACCTCCAGACTACTATTAACTGTAACATTAGCTTCACCCATCAGGTGACTTTTCGATGTATTGTCCACTGCATTAGTCATGTTGATTCAAGACAGTGGACCGCCTCCGTGTTCTAGTGGTAAAGTGTCCGCCCGGAGAGCGGAAGGTCCGGGGTTCGATCCCCGACCGCGTCATACCAAAAGACGTTAAAAAATGGTACTAGTTGTTACCCTGTCTGGTGCTTGGCATTAAGGGGCTAAAACAAGGACTGGTCGACTGGTGAGGTTTTCATGTTAAACTGCGGCATGGTATCTCAGTGAGCTAACACTGTCCGGACTAGTACAAGCAGCCACACGCACACACACACGTGCATGCACGTCGCTATATAAGTCCAATAATCTTGGACGCGACGTTAAACCCCATTATACCTCACCTCAAAACAGTGATTATGATCCTCAGCCTGATGTCATCAATGTTCCCTCTGTTGTATTCGCCAGGTTCATGTACACCAATGACGCCGACATCAACCCAGACAACGTGACGGGCCTGCTGTACAGCTCCAAGAAGTATGCCGTGCAGCTTCTCGAAGATAAATGTCTCAAGTACCTGGAGGACTCGCTCACCTCTGAAAATGTTTGCGCTATCTTGGAACAGGCACACATATACGACGAGGAAGGTCTCTATGAGAAGGCTCTGAAGGCTGCCAAGTGCTCAGGGAATAGGACCCTCAAATCTGCAGGCTTCACGGAGCTGTGCAAGGAATGCTTCAACAAGATCATTCTAGCTGATGACCTTAGCGCTGCAGAGGAGTCTGTGTTCAGTGCTGCCATCTCCTGGGCAAAAGAAGAGTGTAGGCGTCAGGTAAGGTTGATAACTCCCGATTCCATACGCAACATCCTCGGGCAGGCTTTGTATCACATCCGCTTCCCATTGATGGAACCTCGTTTCTTCGTACAGAATGTGCGCCCAGAAAAACTTTTAACAGACCAAGAGTCATTAGAACTGTTTGAATACTACATTTGCCCTGAGAAGGGGATTCAGACATTCATTGTTAAGAGAAGAAAAAGTCAAATTATTGTGTCCAAAGACAGACTAATCCGTGTTCAACGATTCTCTGGAACTGACTTCCCGTGGTCATGGACATGCAGTGGTGGCGGGGATGACTCCATTCGGTTCTCGGTTAGTCATGACGTCATCTTGGTAGGCTTCATGTTATACGGCCCATTTACACAGCAAGCAGAGGAGAACCGAGTGGAATACTCGGTTCAGGCCCGAATATTTGATCAGCGAGACTGTCCGATGGCCCAGTCTCAAGTGGACACGGTGATGGAGGTCAGTTACCATGATAAATACAACGTGGTGATGTTCCAGGAGAGAGTGGACATCCACAGGAACCAGATCTACACGCTAGTGGTCAACATCAAGGGCCGTAATACGCTGAAGGGCATCGGGGGGATGAAGAGGGCTGAGAGGGGAGGCGTGGTGTGGACATTCATGGACTCGGACAAGAGTACAAGGGGAACTAACTCTTCCAAAGGCCAGATACCAGGCCTAGTGTACTGCATGCCCACTGCGGAAACCGAAGACGACGTGTAGAGGTTTGAATGAGTGAGTGAATGTTGCCATACAACGCAGTCAGCAATATTTAGCCTCTACATATTCGAGTCCGGCCCAGAAGACGCATCCTTGATAGCATGATAGTAATATATACACCATTGGGGAACGATGACACACACTCAATGTCATCCGCACATTGTACATTATAATCACCCAGTGATTTCATGTTGCTGTTAGGTTTCCTGGCCGTGGGGACCTGTTGTATCCCCGGACCCCGGGAGGTGATCAGAGTCATTGAAGCGCAACTTTGGTTCCTACATTGTTTTCAGACAAAGTGTTTGATTATTATTGTTTCCATTATATCTGTTTGCAATGAAGGTTGAGTGGTTCATGAAACCACGACCATGGCCCCCTGGAGCTGGAGGTGGAGCTGGAACCTGGCTCCTTTCTGCTGTCCACAACATGGTTCAGATGTGTCACATGTGACATACGACCATGAGCCTCTGGCCCTGGAGCCTGGCTCCTTTCTGCTGTCCACAACATGGTTCAGATGTGTCACATGTGACATACGACCATGAGCCTCTGGCCCTGGAGCCTGGCTCCTTTCTGCTGTCCACAACATGGTTCAGATGTGTCACATGTGACATACGACCATGAGCCTCTGGCGCTGGAGCCTGCCTCCTTTCTGCTGTTTACCACATGATTCAGATGTGTCACATGTGACATACGACCACGACCCTCTGGCGCTGGAGCCTGACTCCTTTCTGCTGTTCACCAAATGGTTCAGATGTGTCACATGTTACATACGACCATGAGCCTCTGGCGCTGGAGCCTGGCTCCTTTCTGCTGTCCACAACATGGTTCAAATGTGTCACAGGAAACAGTTGATTTGCGGAAACTAATAGTCATAGAAAAGCAATTCTTTCCCATTGCCAGTCATTGTCAGTAGGCATTTAAAGTAATTATGGGTATAATTATGAGCATTTATATTTGCAGATTTGCTGTTACTACAGTATTCAATGTATGTGTGGTAATACATTTTGGTCATAAACACGACAGAAATCAGCAATGGGAGTGTATTTAAAGTTTTATTGACCGCAGATAACTTTCCATTTGTCGCTTTTCTATAGCCACAATGAGCGATGTGACGTTATTATTGTGAAGGGCCATGTGGAACTAAACATTGCAAGGCTTGCTTAATTTTCTTTAGGGGTGCATCTCATTGGTCTACGATGCTGCGGTGCTTCACAATTTCGTCTGTTTTATTTGCGGGTAAAGTATGATGATGTAAATAAAATCAGTGTTTGAGCATATACAGTTACTGTACCAAACTTTGTTTGTTGATAGTATCGGTGTTTGCTTAATTTAGATCAACAACTTCAAAACATCGGCCTCAACCCATGCCTCTTCACTCCATATGTTGGCTCACACCCAAGAGTAGAATGGAGAGAAACATACTGTCTTTACAATGTAGATGTTTGAAACCTCACGCTGCGCGTTCAGTTTAGCGTGGTTAAATCTCAGGGCTCGACACTAGCCCTGGTCCGCTGGTCCGAGTCTAGTATATTTTTTCAAAGACCCCCGTGTTATTTTGGGGACAAACAGAGTAATTTAAGCTTGTACGACTTTTAATTGATCAGCAATTGATCAAGTCTAAACTCTAAGCACCATTGTGTCAAGTAGAGACAGGACCAGTAGACTTCTTGGATGGTCCTTTGGGCCACTGACAATTTTGGTTAATGTCAAGCTCTGAACCTACGGCTCTACATTGAAAACACAGTAACTATGTTTATCTCCTTATTAGGTATTGGTTTCCTGTTGGTGAGGTTAGCTGTCAGATTGGAGATAGATCGTGTTTACAGAGAAGACAAAGAATGGTGACCGCATACAGCGAAACTTGTATCTGGTGAAGTTCTGTTAAATCTTGAAACGTGCCAGCACTGTCAGTGTATCTAATTAATTCCAGGTAACGCAACACAGCTCGCCATCAGACGAGCAGGAAATGCTTTGACTCAAACTTGCTACGACTACACTTCTGACAGAAATAGTCTCTCGTCAACATGTGGGAGCATGGTTGCCCATTGGTGTATGGCGGCAAGAGGAGTTGCTTTTCTAAGGGGCAAGGATCCGTTGATCATGGTTTTAAGTCCCGGATTCGCACTGATTATGATCCTTGGACAACATCAAAGTAATGTACGTCGGTTTACATAAAGTGGTAAGGAACGGGCAGTTGAACTTGACCCTTTTTATAAAATGGTAGGAAGTGATCATTGACCCTTTTGTAAGGGCGGGAATGGAGCTGGGACTTGTCCTAAGCGTCTATGTCCTGTGTCTTTCCTTCCATAAACCATTTCTGGTGAAATCCATTTCTGAGGTCACCCACGGCGATGTTGCTGGCATATTGCTAAAAGCGGCGTAAAACCATATTCACTCACTCACTCACCCATCGACTCGCCGTGAGGAAGTTACTGTCGTCAACCTACGTGAACGTTGACCAAATGACCACGTTGTTCGATTGATATGTGGTGTATGTACAGTAACTCCCGCCATTGTTCAAGAATATCTTCTTTCTTTTACCAGCGTGTTGTCTACTTGCTATTGTTACGGATAACAAATGTGCCATTACAGAAACTTACATCATTACAAGTTACACAAGTGTACGTCTCGTTGTGTACTTTGAATCCTTTAATAGGAATATTCACTGAGATTAATGTATGAAGTCCGTTTGATTATAGGCTTATGACTTTCAAAGGCAGAGAACTATGAGGCTATGAGTCTTGTTGGTGTTCCCCCACTAGGATGTTGTTTCATATATTAAATCATATAATTTTCACCGCTATTTTTTTGCCTTTTACGCCCAATGAATTCTGGGTCGGCGGGTAATCGAGACTGGTTATTGTCTGGCGTCCACGTTGTATATTAGTATTGTATAATGAATGAACATTGGAATTAAAATGGTATTCAACATTCAAATCATTACGAAAATCGTACAGACCCTCTTCTACCAAGATTCAAACGAAACTTCAGTTATACCTCCAAAGAAAGTTAAATCCCCTTCTCTCAGAGTGTGGGTGGGATTCTATTAACCATTGTATGCCTCCATTGACCTCCATGACAGTAGATGGTGTGAATGCATTGGTGTGTGCAAGGCGGCCATTGCCACTTATCGTTCTTCTGTTTTTCAGTAAAACAAATCACCTGGAAGGGTTGGACTTAATTAACTTCGAGGTGGGACTGCTAGACCTGTATGTCTGATACATATGTCACCATGATGTACGTGCAAACTGTTTATAGTGACGTTAAAACCAAGTTGGATTCCTTCAGGGGGTCGCAGGTCATGTTTCATGTTACTTTGTCACGCTGTTATCCGATTGTTATCTTGTTCAATTCATGTTATAAGATTGTTATCTGTCTTGTCTGTCTCATGTCAAACAATGGGAGCGAAATGATCCTACCATTGTAAGGAGCCAACCGGGGAATATAACCCCAACATGTTCAGCGAGCAATGTTTCATCACAATGTTTGTTAAAAGCTGAGATTATTCGATTTTTTCAAGTATTTTCTGGAACAAATTATGTTTTTCATAAGGTTTTCCAGCCACCCGTCAAAAGTGGTCGGCCTGTAAGTGTGACCTGTTGTGTGAGAGAACGGGTGACGTCACAGTTCTTTGTCCAGCCAGGAATAGAGTTCACACTTTGTGAGTGAGTGAGTTGGGTTTAACGCCGCTTTTAACAGTATTCCAGTTATATCACGGCGTCCAGATTAATGTGGGGGGAAAGCCCGAAGTGATACAGGTCTCAGACGTTTTACCACATCGGTGAAACCCACGAGCACAAGTATGGTCCTAGCAAACCTAGAAACATAAACATAGGTCCCTGGCGTGCCCAAGGGACGCAACTCTGCACGGCGAATCGCTGCGCTTTAAACGACTGGGCCACCCGTGTCCCCCCCCTCACACTCTGTACCCACATGGGGAGGATGTTCTCATTTTGCCGACATCCAAACTGCCTGCACTGAATGACCCTCCTGATGAAGGAGTAAGTATACACCCCGAAACGTTGTGTTCCTCAAAATAAAAAAGTTGACATCCATAAATGTTTTTTCCTTAAGTTATGGTCTGCTGATTCGTTAGACGTATGAATAGTTGAATTAGTCCCTATGGTGAGAATATGTTATAACAACAGTGTCTTCTTCCCAAGGTGGTTACATGTGGGTTATTCAAGGCGGTATAAATAACTATGGAGTGGAGCATACACAGAACTGAAGTAGTGTCAGGTGGTAGTCACATGGGAACACATCTGGCGAATAAGGGCTTGTTAACCCCACCGCCAGGTGTTGCCCAGGACAACCTCCTTGGTTGGTAGTAGATGCACTAATTATCTTATCAGTGAGGTTCAACTCTTGTTTCATTACGTTGTCACATTGAAACCTTATTAGCAAAGTCGTGAACTCGATATATTCATGATCTCATTACAATCAGAACGTTCTTGCTCCCGTTCCCTTCTGAGTCAGAGCGTCGCCTACCAGACCGAGATAGTGATAGTCGGGGATGTATTTTTACTCATGCAACCTCGAAAAGGTTAACACAGGATAGTTTAGAGCTCTGCGGTTATTTCATCAAACTCATCGTCTGTCTTCAGTTGGATAACCGTTTGACACGGGAGAGACTTGCCATAGCCCGTGTGACGTATTGCCATACAATATCGGCCATCTGCTACACATTCTAGAAATTTATTTAGTTCAGTTTTCAAATTATGAATCGATATTTATCAAAGGGCTGTCATTCCAGACTACGCTTTGTAAAATATCGATTCAAACTTTGAATAAGATTAGAAACTAGAGGCGTCACGTCATTTCATTGGTCGTTCTGACGTAACCTGTGATAGGATATCCTCAGATCTTTGTGTGTCACCAATATTTGATTTCAATTAGAATGATATTGCTATCACTGCGATGTTCCTGCTTATGATGTCATCATAAGTCCCCGCATCAACATGAAGTCGGGTGTGCTTGTACATCGGATAAGACAATGGGCGTTGCTTATTCCCAGCATGACAATACTATGACGAATATACCTCACTTTGACAAAGTATCCAATATTTTCCATTTTTAGATGAGGATTAGCATGACGAAACATTCCTATGTTCTTTTGATATTCATATGGCTTGTACAAAACACACGGTCATTTAAGCTATGTTCAACGTAGTCACCGCTGCCCTTTTTTAAGCTCTACTGTTTCGAGATAGGCATTGTAGGGGAGCTATATACAACTAATTAACTATAAGTCACAATGTTCTATATCGTTCCGTGTGTTATTCATAAGCATTTTACCTGACGTGTTAGATGTCTTTGTTATCCAGTTGACGTGTCATGTTATCCATTTGTTTATCGAAGACGTATATTCTTTTGATAAGCCACATAAATAATTATTTATATATATATTTATCATGTGATTCCAAAAACCAGTTCTATTTTAGTAAAGATTCTAAACGTATGTTATTGTGTGTGTCTTTGTTACTATGTTGTTTGTGCCAGTAGACAATGCCAAGCGTAGTTGCATCTGAGTTACATCCCTTGTCGGGATCCTATTCTCGTTGGCTCGAATCCAAGATTCTCCCTGATTGTGATCCTTGGTTTGGCAGCATCACACCATGCTCTGGAGTGTCAAGGTGACGAACATCTGGTACCTGCATCGTTTTCTCTAAACATTACTCTGACACTCCTTCATATAACTTACAGTGTTCAAAGCGGCGCTGGGGCCGCCTCCGTGGTCTAATGGAAAGAGCGTCTGCCCTGAGAGCCGCGTCATACCAAAAGACTTTA